TCTCCAAGTAGCTCGCTGTGGGCCTACCGTGCCTCGTTCGCGAGGGGATGGGCTACTGGAACCGTAATCGCGAGATTGTGGGTTTTTGTGTTGGGCGGGGGTGTGTGGAGGGTTTGAGACTCAACTCAGTGGGACTTTAAATCTCTGGAAAGATATTTTTCACGAATTTTCTCACTTGGCTGGGTCTTTTCTGGAACAGATGATAAAATCGGAGGTCCTTTTTTAATAACTTTACAGTGTTGCAAGGTGCTTTAAATATAGTATTATACCATTTCGTAATCATTTTTTGCACAATATACAATCATTACATGGCAGACGAAAATCCCATTCTATTGCAGGAATAAATAATTCCGTTATTCGTAGTCGTGTCCACTCGCATCGATGGTGTAGCATTAGGTGCTTCGCTGTCGCATGCAGGAGATCCCAGCTGAATTCCTGAGAGTGGAAGAAATCTTTATCCAGTATCTTTGTTGCTTGGTCTTAACAGGCAGGGTTGGAAGCCCGCCTCTTAAATGATTTCAACTGTCTATGTAGGTATAAAACAGCTACATTTAGTAGTGTCCATTCACTAACACAATCATTAGACGACCAGAAAAAACCATAACACCTTACATTTTAAAATCCTTTGACAAATAATGTTCCAAACTGTCTGTACATCCGCAAAACGTGGCCATAACAATTAAGTGCCGAGGCTAGATTGATCTGCAAAACGTTTTAAATACAAATCTTGTTTTGCTAGCAAACATTGTCGGCAGTAAAATACAGTCTTTGTGCTTTTATCTTAGGAATAAATGCTCCCGACGGCTGTTTAATCCGCTGTCAGCAAAGAGAATTTCCAAGAAACACGAGCTAGAAAAATGTTTCTAAGCCGGTTTGTTTTCAGTGGATTCTCTCAAAGGACTTCCTGGTGTCTGTGGTGTACCTGTTGGAATCGTGCCGTCGCACGCAGAAGATGTGTGTTTGGTTCCCTATTGGGGAAGTATTTTATCAGGTCGCTACCTTAGAATTACAACGTGTTTTCTGTTCAGAATCTAGTTTTTAGAAATTTGGTGTTGAAAATGTTGAGTTTCATAAGGAATTTTTTAATGCAACTCTTTTTGTATCTTGATAAAGATCCCGAATATTCTACGAGGTTGATATCGAGGATAGAGCATTTTATTTCTCACCTCATGGTTTTTATAATAACTAAAAGGGGCCAAAAATATCTGATAGAACTTTGTGATTCAAGGTAGGGAGGTGTCTCGCCTGTCTTTTGGGACGTTGTTTTCCTTTCAGCCCAAATTGGCCATAATCACGAGAGTAGAAGCAGTGCGCCTCCTACATAATCTAAACTGCATCCATGTAGGCGTGAAACGTTTACAGTTACGATTATACGTCAAAGTGCTTGGGGTTAAAAAGTCTCACACATTCGACAGGATGGTAGGGGATGGCGAGGAGTACCCGGGGTGGGGGAGAGAGGTTGGGGTGGGGGGGGGGGATTGGACACCTACGCGTGCTTCTGTTCATATTAGCGATACTTCCAATTTCAAAAAAACGGATGTGAGACGTGAATGGTTTTTAAATAGCCATGATGACGCACGCTTCTGTCTGTTTACGTATGCATTTATTGAGATGTACGTAAATGAGCACGAGTGGAGGGGACGGCAGATGTCCGGGGACGCGCCTACAAGGAGACCGAGACAGACGCAAGACGGACATTGGCTGTCTGAACGGAAACGATGGCTGTGAGAATAGGACGGGTATTTTATTGCCTGTTGTTATTAACCCATGTGCGAACCCACGAAAGTTAGCGTTGGAGCTGAGATTGAGCTCACGGGAGAAGTGTGAACTCTAATTAGGTGACAACTGAGAGTAAACCCAGATTGAGCGAGCTCGTGTAATGAAAGGGTTTTCTTATCGAACAATTACATATTTTACACCCTCATTAACACAATTCAGATCACTTAGGAAGTGGACATTGGAGATGGGATTCGACATTGCTCGTCCAAGCCAACCCAGGCTGACAGCGATCCAGTTTTCTAGCAGAAAAAAATGTACCCGTAAAAATTCTCCCCACGTCGGAATCGAACTCAGCTTTTCTTCATGCTACGTCAGAGCGCCTAAACGCTCCATCACAGACGATGATACAATATGGTTTGGCATCTTTAAATATGTTGAACCAAAGAAATGGTAATTTTAAATAAATGAATTACCTTTCTTATTTAGCAAATACGAACGGAGACACTAACACCCCACAGGCACCTTTAAGAAATGTCCGAGTTGCTTCTTCCTTTGCTTTTCAACATATTAGGGTTATGTTAGAGGCGAATACATGATTTTGACATTTCATCTCCGACAGGACAAAGCCAGATGAGAGAAGCCAAGAAAATGGAGCACTCAATTCATTATTATTTGTATCACTGTTTTGTTGACACTGATGTTTTTGTTTATTGAACTCAATTTACCGTGCACTTTGATAAGATCAGAGATTGAAACTTCGTTTTGATACCTGTCAATGGACATTTATTTTGTCGTTGGAACAATCATTGAAGTGGACATATCAACAAACTCAAAGTTTATTAGGGAAACCCTTCTCACATAATCCTCAGGACGGAGACCGATTTTTTTCCAACTATATATATATATATTGTATAGAATATGATATTCGGGAAGGAAAGGTAGAAGGAAAAAGAGAAAAAGAGGATAGGGTACCTAGCAGAAGATGGGAACAGGACATAGAAACATGGCTTAGACCCAGAGCAAGAGCATAGCAAGAGACAGGGGGTTTTATTGCAGAAAGCCGCGAGAAACAAAGTCCAGCAATTGGAATAGTAAAGAAATAGGGGGTAGATTTGAAGGACGACGTGTGTGAACAGCCTACTCTGAATAAAGAGTCTTTTATGGGTTTAACACCTCTCTGAACTATTATATCATGGCCATTTTAACGCCCGGGTCACCGAATTTAACGTCGTTCTCCAATAGGATCGAGTCCAAATGGAAGAGAGCCTTGAAGACTCCACTAAACAATTCATGCAAAAAAAGTACCTCTGGCAGAACCAAATCAGTGCCATCTGCACCACAATGCAGCTTAGTGCCGACTAAACTACAGGCAGCCAGTATTTTGAAAGACAACTTAGTGCATCAAAACCACCCCCATAAATAAAATACTCCCACCTCTTAGTACAAATTATAGACTAGTTAAGTTACATGAGAGGCTGATATTGTGTATTAAATATCATTTTAAACCAGTGCCTATTAACCTTTTTAAAAAATTGAAAGTACCTACTTTTCCCACCTTTAAGTAAGAGGCCAACATTTCGTTCCGCCTTTCTTCATGTTTTTTTTAAAAAAGGGTATTGGATGATACTTGTCACCACCCGCTTGATCCCCACCGCCCATCAAAATTATCAAATCGCCAGCTTGTGGACAAAATCGCTCATGTTGGCAAGCATCGATTTGAACACAATTATGAATCACGAACACAAATAACTAATTACTCATCAAGGGATGAAGGAAAGACGAGCATTAGTAAACGGTTGATTCCTATAATGAGAAAAGTGTCGTTAAGCTGAAGGTCATGTTCAACCCACGCGATTAGTCATTGTCTCAGGAACTTACTATATCGATCTGAGATTGTTTTACATAAGGGTGGGTCATTAAGAAGTGTATTTTCAGGGAACATTGAGCGTTGTGAGTTCGAATCCTGTTAAGGTGAACGTTACGGAAGGACAACACGTGTCCCAAGGAATAGATCAAAGGGGGAGGGACAGATATATATATATATATATATATAGAGAGAGAGAGAGAGAGAGAGAGAGAGAGAGAGAGAGAGAGAGAGAGATAAAGACAGACAGACAGGCAGACAGAGGGTGAAAGACAGAGAAAAGAGAGAGAGAGAGAGAGAGAGAGAGAGAGAGAGAGAGAGAGAGAGAGAGTGAGAGAGATAAAGACAGACAGACAGGCAGACAGAGGGTAAAAGACAGAGAAAAGAGAGAGAGAGAGAGAGGGGGGGGGGGAGACAGGGAGGCATTGTAAACCACCATCGACACAAATTAGATGATTTAGCAGATTGGCTGCTGCGACACTCGTTGAGTCAGATACAGCACACAAACACAAACGGAGATATTCGATGAGAAGCTTCTCTACGCGGGAATCGAACTCACGTCTTCTTCGTACAATGGCAAAATGTCTAGCCTTTTAAGGTAGTAAAAAAGTTGTTCGCATATTTGATCAGGACATTGGCGATTGCCTTGTCAGTGAGACAACTTCCTGGGTTTTCAGCATATTGTGGTACGGTGGCCAGTTCCTTTCCATGCAGCTTTAAAGTAGTAGGATCCTACATTATAATCACTATATCATGCTATATTGATCATGCATCAATGTACATTATTGAAGTCCTTGACAACAATTGTTTACCTTGGGAACAACAAGCCATCTGATACCAAGGGCCAGAAAGTTGGTGTGGCTTTCAAAGAGACCAGGCTACTTACAAGTATAAAAATGGTTTGCCTAATGCTGTGGTGGAATTTATTCAATAAGTGAAAAGGTGCGTGCAAGGAGAGACTCAGACACCAGTTAACAGATTAGGAGAATACTTAGCTCTATAAAGATGGGTTTTTTAACCATGCAACAGGTGATACAACAAAAGAGAGAAAGGCATTTGTATCTGCTGCCCTCGACACCACAAGAAAACTGGATACTGGAAAAATTAAAAGCAAAATTAAAAAATAAGAAGTTGAAGATGGGCACCGACTAACCGGCCTAAAATAGTAAAAGGAGATTCCTGGCCAATCTAGATAGGCAGTACAATCCACTCATGGGCGATCTGGTAAGTTTGGTGGGTGGTGGGGATCACCAGGGTAGAGGCAGGTGTTCTTTGTATGCCACGATAGGATATACTTGTCAATGAAAGTGAGCGCTACGAAAACTTTAGGCTCTTAAAGGTGACATAAGTGGGTGCTGGCTATAAAAATGTTGACAAGCGCTGTTTTTAAGACGTCCTGTTAAAATGTTGTACTTACCAGTTTTTCGACCTGTCGATAGAGTAAAGCCTTGCCAGGTGAGTAGATTAGAAATTCCTTTTGTCCAGAGCCGACGAGGTCAAGAAGAGTTGTCCTTAGGTTTGTATAACCAATAAATTGTCTCACAAGACGTAAGATTACAACACCAGTCAATTCAAACAATGATCGTTATTCGTCGGATAAAATGTATGGTTTCATATAGCCTGCGCCAAGGATGTTACACTGTGAGGTAAGGGAAAGGATAAGCCTCACGCCAAATTAACAAAGAGCCGTGCATACTGGTAATACCCAGCAATGTTACGTACTTAGCAGTCTGCTGTACCGACAGGATAAGCTGACATTAATAATAGAACTAATTATGTAAGTCTATGAACGGCATATCTAAGAAACAATTGATCTATTACTATGTTGTACTATCCAAGGTCTGGGCTATAAGGTTAAGAGTTGAGAGGGATGAGTTTAATCAGAAGTGCAAGTGTTATATAACACCACTGTTGACCACAAATATCCGCGAATGTTAGGTGTTTGAAAAGATTTTTTAAGATTAGTTTTCTGCTGCTCTGTCAAACAATACTAAATGTAGATGTCAACTAATCTCCTAATGTACCATAGATAGTTATTTCAGTTTGTTTCATTTATTTCAGAATCAGAAAGACATTAAATACAGGATTGAGTAACGCTTTTTATTTTGAAATGAATTCGTTTATTGTTTTCACCAATCGATGAGAGACCTCGAAAGAATCAGAAGGGCTTGCTAAAAGTAATATAATGTAGTTAACACCATACCCAGTCCTTAGGTAGATTCAAAAACAAAAGAAGAAAGAAGAACAGAGGAGCGCCTCTTACCGAGAAACTAATCCCCCCTTCTCCATTCTTTGGTAAGAATAAACTTTATTAGCACGCTCTTTTAACTTTTTTAAAGGATCTCTTATCGTCTGTTGAATATGATGAGAGTAAATCATCATCATCCAGGGCCAGATCTGCGACAGACATCGGAGATCACTGTTCTCCATTCATTCCATTGCTGGGATGCTCTTTAAAAAGCACACAAAAAAAGCAAAACAAATACTTTTAAAAATATATAAACTGTTACCCTAACTGGATACGTGCTTTTCTGTTCAGTACTGATATCCTGAGCTTAAGTTATAGTTTCAGCAGGAACCCTTCAAAAAGATGTGATTTAAAGGAAAGGTACATGTACAGAAGTCAATATTTAAGGGGTTTTTTGTAAGAGACTTATCAAGTTATCAAAAATTAAGAACATACGACAAAATATTCTTTCCGAGGCACAAATAATGAATGTTATCTCTTAAAGCGGGCTATATTATTTTCTGTAAGATATTGATTGTAATTAGCTAAAATAATATATTCTTTTTCTTAAATGCCGATAAAATATATTTCCAGTAGGAATTCACAGTACAACACCAACATTGTGTCACATTAGTAAAGGAATCCCATCCCGGTGCAGTCTGTCCCGAGCTGGTGGCCCTAAGTGTGTGAGAGAACTGACGGACAGACTGGCGAATCTCTCGGGGTAAAGAGCTGGTCCGGATACCAGCGGATACCAGGCGGCGGTCTACGGGTCTCACAGCAGGCGGGAATGGAGAGAAGAACCAATAATTATGAGGCGTTGTTGAGCAAGACGATAGCTCAGCATAACGGTGAGGGAGGGAGGTGAGGGGAGGGGAGGAAGTGAGCGGGGGGGGGGGGGAGGAAGTGAGGGGGGGGGAGGGGAGAGAGGTATAGTATGGGTAGAGAGATGAGGTGAAAGTGGGAGACCAGAGATGGGGGAGAGGGAGAGCGAGTGTTTTAGACTGTAGACGAGGGAGAGGGAGCGAAGGGGAGAAGGGACGAGGTCGTACGAAAAGATTGACGAGGGGAAAAAATGAGGGAGCAAGAATAGGGAGAGCAGTCCGGGAACTTTGGGATAAAAGGAGGAAAAGGGGCGGGGGTGACAGTTAAAGTGAAAAATACCAATGAGTTTTTTTGCTGTTGTTGTTGTTGTTGTTGTTGCTGCTGTTGCCGTTGCTGTTGCTGCTGTTGCTGTTGTTGTTGTTGTTGTTGCTGTTGTTGATGTTGTTGTGGTTGTTTTTGTTGTTGTTGTTGTTAGGTTTTTGGTTTCTTTGTGTTATCGTTTTGTCTATCTGTTGAGACTTTTTTTAAAATTTGATTTGAAATTATTTTAGTCGAAGAACAAAAAAAGTAAATCCAAAATCAGTGAGCTAGAGTACCTCATGGAAAACCGAAGAGATGACAGACAAAGAGACACCAAATACTGTTTTCCTTGAGGCGTTTTCCTGCGTCTAAGAAATAAATTTAGACTGACAGAAAAAGATACAAGAGAACAAGAGAGATAGGAAGAGAAAAGGAGAGGTGAAGAGAGAGGGGGAGAGAAACAAGAAAGAAAATATGAGAGCGAATTGAGAGCACCATATGGAAATGAAAAAAGACAGAGAGAGAGAGAGAGAGAGAGAGAGAGAGAGAGAGAGAGAGAGAGAGAGAAGTGTGGGAGGCAAAGAGGAAGAGAAAGACAAGAGATCGAAATAGAGACGGAAGGATGGGAGGGGAGGGCAGGGGCCGTTTAAGCAGTTTTTTGTATTATTACTGACAGCCACGAAACAGTCCCTCGAAGAGCCTAAGTCATCTAGGTAAAGACATAATATCGAACCCACAATATCTGCATTCTTTAGTAGCCGAACTACCGAACGCTCCAAAATATACTGTCAAGTAATCTTAGGTTGTTAGAGACGTTCAGAGAGAAGAATAAAAAGTAGACCTTCACCTTTCTTTCGTAAAAACAGCAAATCCAAACAAGTTGCAATTTATTGTGTTTTGTGCCCCAAAAGACATGATCTTGATTACTTGGGAGACGGGCAGTGCTGACCTTGCTTGTCAGTGCCACACTAGGCTAATGGGGAACATTATTCCAGAGATACAATCAAGGATTCTCGATATTTTTTTTAATCCCCCCCCCCCCTTCGAAAATTCAAACACACGCCTTCTGCATGCAGCACCACAGACGGTAGTCCGCCTATACCTTAAAAAGAGCATGCACAAACTCATATTGAAGAGACCGATACGAGCCCTCTTGAACAAATTGTCCTTCTGATAGTTAGTCAGAAGCCAGACGGCAGGATTAACCTAATCTCTAGAACTTTGGGCGTCTTTTAAGAGCTTAACGTGGTCAATATCCACTTCAGACACAGCACTTTACTGACGGGAGTACGTAGACTATCTTAATCAATGTTAAGTTCTGTGGTTGACGACTTTTGCACGAACCCAAACAATTTTGTCTGCCTTGTCTCCCACTGTCAAAAGCATTTTTAAAGCAAGGTTTCCCGCTTTAAAAACTACGTAAACAAGACCAAGCAAGTACGCATCCACAACTTGTTTTTCAAGAAATTGCATCCTTCAAAATCTCTGACGTATTAATAATGGCAATTTTATTATCCTTTTCTAAGAGACTCCGAACTACGTTTTCTGGATTATGTTGATTGATCAGAAGATCCTTTTTTTATCTCTGTCTCTCCAGCTCTCTCGCTCCCTCTCTCACTCTCTTTCTCTCTCAGTCACTCTCTCTCTCTCTCTTACTCTCTCTCTCTCTCCCTCTCCCTTTCCCTCTCCCTGTCCCCCTCTCTCTCTCATGCCATCTTTTTTTCCTCCCTCTCCTCCGATCTATCTATCTATCTATCTCTCTATCTATCTATCTATCTATCTCCAGCTGTCTCTCTCT